TCTCATCCAAAATTTTTAACATACAAATTTGCCCCTTGATATTTATCTGCTGTTTCTTTCATACTCTGTTCAAATCGAAGCTTCAATTCATTTTCCCGTTCAGACTTCTTCTGGGCTTTCCCAACATACCACTCCTTATCATCCACTTTCTTCCCATTAAGAGCCTCAACAGCCTTAGCAGCATCATCTGCATTCTCAAAGTTGACAAAACCAAAGCACTTTGACTTTCCATCCATATCCCTCATCACGATAACACTGGTGATAATTCCAAATTCTCCAAAAATATTGTTCAAATCTTTTTCAGTTGTTGATTCAGAGAGATTGGGGGCAGCGGCGGGGGCGGAGATGTTCTACCCCGAGGATGGCAGGTGAAGGGAATGAAGGGCTGCTCTAGGTTGTCGGAGGTCAACTCTTGCACTTTTTAGGTCGAAGAAAGTGGTGTGTGGGAGGGGGCAGCGTACGACCTCGCTTCGACTCTTTTAGTTGCGAAGCTCGTCGGTTCAGTTCACTCTACGGCCATGGTCATCGTAGTGCATAACTGCTGTACGTGTTTCTGCCGAAAAGGAGAGAACGAGAGAGAACGAGAGAGAGAGAGAGAGAGAGAGAGAGAGAGAGAGAGAGAGAGAGAGAGAGAGAGAGAAAGCTACTACATAATGTACCCGTCTGCCCATATTCTCCGGTCGCTGGAAACCCTCCCCTGCCCCCTCCCTTCCTCGCGGCCATTTACGGCTGTTCCGGCGCGTTGGTGCAAGCATCACGCCATCGTGGTTCGCGGAAACCGGAAGCGCCACTGTCGTTCTGCGTCGCCCCCGTTCCAGAGAGATGTCCCGCCGTTTTGCGAGAGATGCAAGGGTCCAAGGGTCTAGACTACGCTCTGGAGACAGCAGTGGCAGTGCATACATGTCAGGGAGAACCCCCCCCGTCTTCTCTTCGGTCCTTCCCTTGACGTTCGTTGGCGTTTTTTTTTTCTGTCTCACCGCATAAAACGAGTACCCCCCCCGCCCCTCCACCCCGTTCGTGCAATCCGGTGTCCTTCTGCTTTTGATATTCTGTGCTGCTGGCGTTTTTTTTTTTTTTTCTTGTTTCTTTTTTGGTCACCAAATCAGCTTGAGGGTTAACACCGACCGAAGGTTCCAGCGGTTCGCGGAGTGCGCGTTGCCTCTGGCCACGGGGGTCGCCAAGAGGGCTCTGAGAGAGGTCGGCGTGGGACCCGCGGATGTCGGGAGGATCGTGGTCGTCACGTCCACGGGGGTGCGTGATAGTGCTGACGGTTCCAACCGCACTTGCTTCCATCCACACACTTGCTTGTCGCTTTGTCCGAGAAAAGCTAGAGTCTCGTTGGATAAGGAGGGAATGGGGGGTGGATCATGCGGCCGTTTCCCTCGCATTGTGTATGACACGACATCGTATCTATTTGTTTACGACACGATATCGTATACGATAGTACACCTTTTGCCGCCGAGAAGGGCATGTATCTTCCAACAATGGCGAGCCCCCCAAAAAACTTTTTCTGTTTCCGCGCCAGATCAAGGCGTCTTCTTGCTACCCACCATGTTCCCATCAGTTTTCGTGACCTCCAACGCCACAACAATAGGCACTCAATCGATGCTATAAAGTTATCGCCACCCATATGTTGGCTATCGCCCTACTTCTTGGGGACCTTAAAGGTGTGCGGGCCGGGGCTTGACGGAGAGCTCGTCAAGAGCATCGGGCTGAACCACTCGGTGGAGAGGGAGGTGGTGTCCTTCCAGGGGTGCGGCGCCGGGATCAACGGCCTCCGCCTGGCCTCGCAGTACGCGGTGACGCACCCCGGGCGGCTGGCACTGCTGGTCTCGGTGGAACTCCCTTCCTTGCACATGCACAAGGTGCGTGTGTTTGAGTGCTATTTCAACATGTACATACAATCGCAGAGAGACTACAAGCTGTACACCCGTTCTAGATATAGCCACATCGAAGGGGGTGTCTTGAAGTCTTTGCGGTGCATGGCAGAAAAACCGACCGGATATTGGGCTTGATTCGAGTCTATTTATGCTTGTGCACAGAATTATGATCAGTGATGTGATGCCAACTAATACTAACGTAGTCGCAAGAACATCTGAATAGGTTCAAATTTAACAACAAAAATGACCTTGTGAGATTTGTGGAGTGCACACGCAAGCTCTGCATGCGCGCGCGCGGGGGGGTGGTTGCATGCGCGAAAGTGTCAGCACGTGCCTGCTCCACGACGTCGAATGTTGGCAGCTTTTCCCAAGCGATGGCAATCAAGCGGAAGCTTAAGCTTCCCCTGGAAGGCTTCGTCGCACATTTTGAGGGCCGTGGCAATGACTAATATTATAATAGTTTTTTTTTATCACGGGGAGAGTTTCGAACGATCTTACGCCTGCCGCGACTGGTCGTTTGTTTTGCTGCACAAACCCTCGATTGCAGCGCTCGCTGCCCTCCCCGTGCCGGGTGCCATGTGGTAGTAAAAAAACGATAGTTGGCAGCTTTCCGCCAAAACCCACAAACCACGGCTTTCCCCCGATGCAGCTCTCACTATCTACAGCAGTACCTCTTCGCCCTTGCTGCAAGAAGATAACGCCGTCCAGACTAATCCTGCTTTGTTTAACGCTCCACGCCACACCGCTGTGTTTTTGCATGTTGCGTTTCATTCTCACAATTGCGGCCGCCGTAAATGCAACGGCAAAACGAATGAAGGGGGACACGGTGAACGACGCGATCTTGCACGCGATCTTCGGGGACGGGTGTGCCGTGGCGGTCGTGGCCGGACGGACGGCGAGAAACGCCGAACCGGGGTCCTTAGCGGTCCTGGACAACCGATCCTGGCTGGTGAGCAAATAACAAGATATATGTATATATGGGTGGAACAATATATACCAAGTGCTACGTCTGTAGACCGTTCAACGTATGTAGCCATTGTGCGTTTTTATTGAAGGAACAATATATACCAAGCGCTACTCTGTAGACTGTTTAAAGGTATGTAACCATTGTGTGTATTTATTGATGGAACAATATTACCAAGTGTTACTTCTGTAGACTGGTAATGTGACCAGTGTGTGTGTTTACTGTTTACTGTTTGATGAGTACTTGGTTGTGATTTGTCTTGGGTGTAGGGAGAGACGCATTAACCGTGGTACGTCGAAGGCAGCCAGCCAATGGCCACAACAGTAGTCACATTGAAAGCAACCCGTCATCGAAGCTGCGGCTACATCGGGGGAAAGACGGAACATCGGGAGGTTCCGGCTACTATATATCAAGCGAGGGGGGGGAGGGCGGGGATCGTATAAGGACGTTTCTTGCTTCATGTTCGTCTGGCCATTGACCATGCTCTCTTACGAGACGGACCACCGTTCGCTAGTCCCCATTGAGGCAAAACAAACGAACAAGGGCGGAGAGTTTTGTTCACAAAGAGGGAATCAAGCGTACTGTTAAACGTTCGAGTTCTTTCCGTCACGATCAAGAGAGGCAACATGGCAGGATTCCGTCCCTACTATGGAAGAACCAACCCATTCGAGCGGCACAACAAGAAAAAATCGAACACGACCAGAGTTGTTGAGGCCGGACTTTGGAAAAGCGGCGCGCCGACACACAGTCGGAGGAAGAAGTATTGCTTGAGGACAAGAAGAGAGCACGCGAACGATCTGTCTGTTTATCTAGGGTTTGGTTTTGGTCTACGATTATAACAGCAACGGGAAGATGTTCTCCTTTGCTCCCCCCGAATCCCACGCGAGGGACCCTAGCGAGAGTTCACAGACAAGGCACATGGAGGGTGTCAACGTCTGTATCGGGGACAGGATTGGTACATACATATGTAGCCAACTTCGTCCAAGCAGTCCGATCGCATCGCAGGCTGTACCCCCGGCGTTTCAACCGTTTTTTTTCTTTTTTCGTTACACATGAATCTTTATCATACCGCCAAGGTGGACGGTACGGAGGACGGGATCAAGATGACCTTCGGTGACAACGGCGTGTCGTGCACGCTGTCGAAGCGACTGCCGGACTACGTCAAAACCAACGTGGCAGACTTCGTTGAAGAGGTGCGAACCACAGCAGTAGCATATATTGTGTAGACTGGTTTAGGTAGTTGCTGAACAGTACGCTCACATTGCTTAATAGCGCCGTTTCACCTCTGTGCTAGGTGTCGGTTGTGTCGGCTGCTATCGTGTAGGTGACACTAAATAGATAGATGCACCACACCCACCCTTCCTTGGGGCCGGTTTTCAAGGCTCGAATACTCGACGACGAAGAGGATGCATGGATGAAACGGTGCGTTTTTCGTGAGGCTCTCGACGAGACGGCACCACCCGTCCTTTGTGCCGTGGAGCTGTGGAAAATCGCCCCAAGGGATGTGATATCTACCGTGTTGTTTTTTTTCGTGGTGGTCGTTCTTGAGCCGAAGTAGGGTGGGCGGCGAACCCGCCGAGTCGGTCCGTAGAGGTGAGGTCGGTCCCGTAGGACGTCGTTTTGTATGGCAGTTTTGCGCCGTCATGGTCGGCTGTTGCTGGACAGACGAGTATGCGCCCAAGGCCGGCTCGAAAGAGCACGTCGTGGCCGCCTACCGATCTAATGCATACGTATGCGTACACGCCTTTTTTTTGCTCTTTGTGTGTGACGAAAATGAGCTTCGTGTTGGCGCCAGTTTCGTGCCCGAGGAAAAGTGTTTGAAGTCGTACTCACCACGGTGAGATTTTTGTGTTTTTGGCTTGAAGAGATTCGTGCTTGGACGAAGTTGTTTGCTCCCTGCCAACGCCGCAGGGGGGCGGGGGTCCCGCGAACGAAATAGTTTACCGTGTCAGCACCCTTGAGTACCCGCGTGTTGATGTCCGTCCGAATCGTTGTTGCCGCTCGTTGTTGCTTTTGACGCAGATGTTGGGGGCCCATGGCGTCGACAAGGGTGACGTTGATTTCTGGGCGCTTCATCCGGGGGGGCACCGTATCGTCGAGGTAGGTGCACAGGTCTACTGCTAAGGGCCACACCGCCGCCGAAACCCCTTCGTCGGTGGTGTCGGCCCCTCTGGCATGTTGTTGTTGTTGTTGTTGGTGTTGGTGTTGGTGTGGAATGCATGTGAGTGTAATCGTATGGGTGCACGTTGGTCCCAACCTTTTGCTGTACCCTGTTGGGTGTGTAACCCCCCTTCTCCGCTCTCAAAGCATCGGGGCTGACGTTTCGTCGTGGACGCCTTCCGATCACACGAGGTTGTACATACATGTATTCTCTGCGTTTGTGTACGTTTGCAAGCATTGATTGACCTCGTGACGGAGATTTGAAGGTACTGGTGTAGAGAGATCGGAAAGGTTTTTCACGATGTGAAGGCGACAACAACAACAACAACAACAGCAACTCTCTCTGTTTTGTTTTTCCTTTTGCAGGAGACGCGCAAGAGTCTTAACCTGAGTCTGGAGGAGACGGAGGGTTGCTGGGAAGTGTTGCGAGACTACGGGAACATGGTTTCCGCCACAGTCCTGTGAGAATACAACGACCACCACCCCTCCCCCCCTCCCGCACGGCAAACTAGAATCTGCGGGGTTGCAAAAGATTTGAATCGGCCGAACGACAGAAATGCCTTGCATCGTTGAAAACACGAGCCAGTTCTTCGTCTTCCAGCCCCTTACCGTGGGTTGAAGGCGACATGCGATGCCTAGACCTGCCATGTGCTCATATCGTTTCCCTCTGCCATACGTTTGTATGTGCGCGTTTCGATGCATCCCAACAAGGGAGGAGCTTCGTCCGACTCCCTCCGGGGCACATGTTTTCCGAACTCAAAGCAGTCCTTGCTGCGTCTGAGACGGACTCCTCTTTTGGCGTTACGTTAGCTCGCGTCTTGCTTGTTGGTCGCTGTGAGAGCCACGCAAACGGCGCCAAGTTAATGGTCTTCATTTATTTCGGTGTTGATTCCTCCTTGTCCAGACACGACGTTTAATGCACCAAGTTCCCCTTACCGTTGGGGCGGGGAGGGGGCTAACATTTCCGAGTGGTTGCCAACAGCAAGGTAGCCGTCTGGATTCGAGGCGACACTGCTGTGGCCACCGTACCGATCCAACGGGTTGGAACGAGAAATCTTGCCGTTTTCTGTTGGTATGTCTATGCTGCACGTGGCACTGCAGCATTGCGGTCCTCGTCTTCAAACCCGGCAAGACTCACCCCCCCAACGTCGCCCGTTCTTCCCTCCGCCTCCTTTTATTCCTGCCTGGCCAAAAAACGAGACCAGATTTGTTTTGGAGCGGGCGCTCGGGCAACACAAGCGACTGCGAGAAAATGGTGGCGGCGACGGCCGCGGCTTGCAGCACGTCGTGGCTCTCTCCTTTTCCCCCGGGGTGACGGTGGAGGGATTACTACTCAAGGCCATGCCGTCGGTTGTCGCCCAGCCCAACGGCCAACGCTGAACGAACCCTTGGCCGGGTAAAATTTTTTATGGCGGATTGCCCTGGGCTCGCTACGGCGTGTGTTTCCGGTGGTCCGTTGTCCGTGACGTGAAGAAGAATGTGTTTGTTGAATGTCGGTGAGGAGCAAGTTTCTTGCCTGGCATTTTAACTTTGTTTCGAGTGCAGCTTCCAACACTGCTGTCGCCGCAGTTTTGGGGGGCTCTCTTTCTCCACACCCATGGTGGTAGACATCATCGTTTTTTTTATCGTTTCGCGAGAGTGCTTGACGTGGCACCCCGGCGCGATCGCCAGTTTTAACCGTTTCGTTGTTCTTGTATTTTTGCCCTCACCCGCTCCAAGCCAGGGCACCGTGCCCAAAATCAATGGTACCGGGCGGAACGTGAACCAGAGTATTTTACTTACCTCTTTGCTTTGAAGAGCACCCAACTCCTTAAGTTACCACGGAACCGTGTTGTTGAGATGCTGAATAAAGTCTCAGAAGCTTGTTAGAGGGTACACTGTTGCTGTTGTTCTGTACAAGACCCGGCGTGCACTTCGCACACCATTTCCAATGTAGATGTAAGAGCCAATGTTACACAACACGTGCTCATTTCTGTGGGTACTTTTTTTCCTTCTCTTTTTAATCTCGTGTGTGAAGAGAAAGGTCTTTCCTGGTTGTTTTGCTCTGTTTCGCGTCCCGTATTTTGGTGAGAGGATCCTGTGGCTATCGAACGAAGTCGTACCCACTGCTGTTGTACAAAGTAGCTGGGTAGTAGAGTGCGGAACAAATTGCGAAGGGACACGGAGGAAGTGGAACTGTTTCCAACACACATGAGAATACGAACTTAGCGACGTGTCCACCACCAATATGTATCGTTCGTGGCCAGTGGTCTTTGGTCACACATTTCACGATACTCAAACGCCGATGCACTTGGCGCCTGTGTACAGTAGATAGCTCTTGCTCGTGATTTCCACACAAGACGCATTGTACATTAGTGAGGGACACTTGACGGACCTAAAAGAAGCCATCCACCGTCGAGGGTTCTCTCTGTGTGCGACGCCCGGCAGGAGCCCCTCGGTTACGGGAGGTGCCCTGATGGGGTGACGACAGTTCGAGAAAATGCAGTATTTTTCTCCGAATGACTAAAGCCAACAACAAAGCACACAGCAGAGTGCATCAGCTTTACAACCACAGCAGTCGGCCCCCTTCCGAATGGAGAAGACGTTTTTGTAAGGAAGCTACTCCGAACCTTGCGCGAGAAAGTAGTGAAGAAATCAGTTCGCCACGGGAAGCACCTATAATCCCTCATCGACACGGCTGTCTACCTCCTGCACCAGCTGCTGCTAAAGCTGTTGCTGCTGCTGCTGCAAATAAAAAACACCCCAGCAATGAAGCGTCCATACCACATGCTCAGCAAACGCTGCTTGTCCGGGTCCTTACGAAACACTTCTTCGTAACAGTTGTTTGACATCAACGCTTCGCTGCTGTTGTATGTACACCTTAGGAGACCAACAACATACACGCAAGTGTCATTCGGGAAGACGCCACCTCTAGTCATTCGGGAGCCACTCGCTGGAGCACGCAAACCTAAAAGTGAGCTGAAGAACCTTGCAACCGCGCTGCATGCATCCTGGTAACCTTGTCTGCGCCAGATACCGACACCACGGGGGACACTTCTCACACCGCCAAAGGATAAGCCTTGACCTCCGCCCAGAATACCCAGCGGCCGGCACCTTTGTTGTGCTACTGCTGTAGTGGCCCTTTTCATGTGCCCCATCCCAACCGGCCCCACGTTCGGTGGGTTAACAAGATGTGCTAGAAGTAGCATACCAAACGATTCTCGTCGCTCCGGACGTCCCGCGAGTCGCTTTCCGCTACCGTCTTGACGAATACCTGCGGCAGCAGACACGCAGGCAGGTGGGCGTTCGTGGCAAGACGGCGGGCGACACAACCGAGCGAAGCAGCGAACGGTCGGTCGGTAGCTGGTCGCGGCGAGCTTCGGCTCGAGAGCTACTGCTGTGGCTCGTACTGTGTCGGGAAATACACAACTCTGTGAAGTCGAGCCAAAACCATTTGCCTCGCAAAAACGTGTTTACGATAAAGACGAGTGCATAAAGCACGTGAACCATGAGCAGCAAGCGCCACAATGCTCTTTGCCGTTGGAAATTATGGCGATGACTAAACGTCAAAGGTTGGAGGTGTGGCACGAGACAGACAGACGGCACGAAAACGCGAAGAAGGCAGCAAGACAAGGCCTACAAGGCGCACCAGGGAAACGAGGTTCAGGCCAGCAACCCAAAGGTAATCTTGCGGACAATACCTGCAGCGGCTACTACTGCGGAATCAGCAGCAAAGAGGCGCCCTCGGCACGAACACTATGGACGCATAGCACCACAGCACCGAGCACTCGCAGGGTCCAAATGATGCCACGTAATGTATATCGTCAAAGTAAAGCGCCCTCACGATCAAGATGACTCCCCAACATCACAGCACTGCTGCTGTGCCCACCTGAACAAGGGCACCAAAAGCGCGGTGCGCCTTCTGGCCCTTTGTCTCAAGACCGGCAGCATCTTCGCGAGCGGAGTTTCTCTGTCTTCGCCGCCTTAGCTTTGCCCTCGGCGAGGGCGAGAGTATCGCTACAATCGCCCGGCCACAGCCAAGAGACAGCACGAACGGCGGCAACCCGCAGCAGCAGGCCGCGGACGGCCTCCAGCTTGCGCAGCTGCTCCACGGTGGCGTCCCGCCCGCACATCTTCCTCTCGCGCAGGATCCGCTCCGTGATGCTCAGCGGCGTGCCGTTGAACGCCACCTCCCCGAGCATGTTGGTTATCCTCTCGACGGCCGAGGTGTCCGCCCCGCCGTCGATCAGCATCCGGACGATCCTGGGCGCGCAGGACCGCTCGGGGCTCACGTCGATGCCCCAGAGCACGGGGGTCCTGCCGTACGGGTCGAGCGTGTCGCTCACGTAGGACACCCGGGCGGCCTCGCGCCTCTTCTCCTGCAGCCCGATCAGAAACTTCACCGAGGCCTAGCGGCCGAACTCCGCCGCCACGACCAGCGCCTGGCCCCCGGCGTCGGCGACTCCGGCCTCCGCCAGCATGGCCATGACCCCGACGTGCTGCTCCTTGGCGGCACCGCGGAGGGCCCGCACGCCGCCGGTAACCCCGGCGCAGCCCCTGATCCCGTGCTCCCTGAGAAGCTCGCGAACCACCCCGGCGTGGCCGTACTGCGCGGCCATGTCCAGGGGCACGGGAACCCGGACGGGCTCGTGACGACGAACCGCGGGTTCGCCTTCGCGCGAATCAGGATCCGGACGGCTTCCGTGTGGCCCTTGAACGCCGCGCTGTACATCGGCGTCGACGCGTCCGAGATGTGGCTGTTGGGGTTCGCGCCCACCTCGATCAGGACTCTCACGACCCTCACGACCCCCGGGTGGCCCTCGTCGGCGGCGACGTGGAGTGCACCCGTCCGAGGTCTGCCCCGCGATGTCCGCGCCGGCGTCCACGAGAATTTTCGCCACCTCCGCGTGCCCGTTCTGGGCCGCGACGCCCAGGGCCGTCGACGAGTTGGCCCCGTTGTCCAGCAGGATCTTGACGATGTGAGATTGTCCCTCCATCGACGCCAGCATGAGGGGCGTGAATCCTGCCGGATCGCCCTGGTTGACGTCAACAGCCCCGCTCGAGAGGAGGGCCCGCGTGCGGTCCGCGGAGCCAAAGTGCGCCGCCTCGTGCAGCTCGTTTCTGGGGCCTCGAGGCCATTGCTGCAGGGTACGTGCCGGAGGCGTGCTACAAGGTTGCAAGACAAGTTGTAGGCGGGAGGGCGGGAGCAGGAGGAGAGACTGCGCGGTGGTTGCGCAGAGCTAAATACCAGATACATACATTGTAGGCGACAGAGCCAGCCAGGCTGTAGGCGGTTTTGGGGGTCCCGTGCCGTCATATGGGGATGGTGTGTGTCTGTTGAAGGTTCCACATACAATGCTTCCCGAACTTCGTGGAAACCCGAATGTCCCCAACCGACGGCCCCCTTCGCACCCTCGCTCCGCTCCCTGCACGCGTTACAAACTGCTGCCTCGATGCTTGTCACTACTGTATAGAAGCACAGCGGGGCCGATGACTCCTCCTCCACAGCGGTGGTGCTAGTGCTCGGCTGCTCTCGGCGAGGTGCTGGTCTACAGAGCCTCCGGGGGCTACGTGAATGAAATGGGTAGATGGACAGACGACAAGTGACGAGCACTGCAACGAAAATGGGTGTTTTGTTTCTTGCCTCGCCCATCACCACCGTCTCTCACTCATTAATTACGTTAGATGAGTCAATAGAGTCAACTCTATGTACGCTTCTTATGTGCACAAAGAGCCCGTGGGCACGACATGATGTCAGCAAGGTTTACAGGCGCCGAGACCCCTCTATCGCTTCCCTATTCTCTCCATAGGGTTGAGGTCATTTAGCTTTGACACAGATGACAGCAGTGCAACGACCGCGACGCTAAAGCGTGTCCGCGAAATTGAAAGGAGTACCTGCCGTTGAATGAAATCGTTGGACTGGGTACACCGAAAACGATCAATGAAAGCCAAGTTGTGTGCTCTGGCGAAGAAGGTCGACGGTCAAATAAATCATCCGCGATGTCTAGCCACATCCAAAAATCGAACCCACCCCTTCGACGTATGTCATGCCAGAGCTTCTTCTGGTACAGCCCCGGCTGCTCATCTCATCGCGAGCAGCGAACGAACTCTACGCCAGAGGCATCCCTGCCACACTCCGGTCTGTACTTAGCGCACAGCACCGCAGCATGGACAGACAGAGGCAGCCTTTCCACAAGACCCTGGGCTGCAACCCCATCCAGGCGTGTCTCAGTGTCCGGTCCGATTCGCCTGCCACTATTACACTATTACGGTGTTCTTTGTGACGAAGCGAGTTCCGTCGTGTCCGTTTCGTCTTCGCTGTCAGCGGCTGCAGTGGGCCATGTCCTGACCTGGGCATCTATCCCTGCTATGGACCTTCTCAGCGCCGTCTCCCCGATCGCATCCCTTTCCTCCTGAGGGGGGTGGGCAAACAACAGACCATCATGCAGTACAGGAGTGGTGGTGCGAAATCGTGAAAGAGGCGGATACCGGAGCGAGCCTACGGCAGGCAGTGCTTCAGCCTAACGCATGTTGGAAAATGATGCGATGAGGCCGTAACTTTTGCAACCTGTTGGTGACTCTTCCTATCTAAGCGGTTTCACGCCCTCTGATTGGTCCGGCGTTGGTTCCTAGCCTTGACCCTCTCCAGCGCCCTCTCGCCGTTCGCGGCCGCTAGGCCGTGCTTTGGCCGTGGGTAAGGGTTAGGGTGAGGGTAGATGTGGGGTGAGGAACCTAGCCTTGCAAAGTGCAACATGGGTTAGACCTAAAGAGTCACTAACAGAGTGTAAATAGACCTCCGACGAGGCGAGTAATGGCAGGCCAATCGATCCACAGCGCATTTGGCTCGGTGCACGTGCCTTGTGGTCTCGACCCTAGCCACACAATCTCGCCCATTTGTTCAGCAAGTCAACAACAACAACGACAACAACAACAACTGTCGCCTGATGAAAGTCCCCATCACAAATACACCCCGGTGAAGCGAGATGCTTGTGCGGTCTGTTGCTAAACGCGAAAAAATAAAAAATAAAACAGAGGCAGTGTTCTTCGTCTCTCCACCTGTGCCAATCGCTCGTCTTCCTCCGCCAGGCGGGCCTGCTCCCTCAAGGACGCCACGTGATTCCTGAACAGACCAAATACGCCTCCGAGCCAGACGCCGTAGAACAGACCGCTTCGAGCGGCGGCCACACCGCCTGCAGGACAAGAAGCAAGGACAGCAGCACCATGTTCATGAATAAAGAAAAAAAAAACGGGAGAAACGCGCTCAAGATTAGGCCCACTACTACTACTGTTTTCGTTCCAAATGCGGAGAAGATATTCTGGTGCTAGTCTACACCTGTCGGTATACGTTTGACGCGGCAGCCGGGGCCAAATAGTGTCTAGGAAAACAGCGGTACATAACGCTAGACAGATATCCGTCAGAGAGGACAAGATGGTCGAATATGAAGAGACTACCAATGCAATCGAGAATCGATAATATTTTTCAATGTCGCCAGTCCGTGCTGGTGTACGTGTTACACCGTGGTAAAGTGAAATGACACAATACAGTACACCTCCTTGGACCGACTTTCAAAGCTCCATGTCTCCACCACAGAACGAGTGGGGGTGCTGAAAAATGGCAGCGTCGGAGCCTCCTCATCGAGAGCCTTCCGCAAACGTATCGTTAGCAGATATTCATCCTGTTCGTCGGGAAGCAGTCGAGCGCTGAAAATCGGTCCAGAGGATGTCCACATCTTACTGTCACCTACGGTATACCGCGTATCGGGCATACATTACAGAGCGAGGTCCACCCGTGGGAGGAACTACATTCTGTGCAACAGAAAAGAGGAACAAAGCAAACAAGTTACACACATACACACACCTGATACACCGTAGGCCATGCCCGCCAGCGCGCCCCCCACCGTACCACCTACGAAGTCTTTCTTCCGTCGCAGGGCCTCCATAACAGCAGACGAGCTGGAAATTCGTCCAAGATCAACCACGGGGGCGGGCATGGCGTACAGTAGTAGCGTACCCCAATAGAGATCGCGGACATGATGAGTTTCACCGCTGCTACTAGCTGCTGCTGAAAGAACGAGGGTGATTGGTGTGCTGCTTCATTTGGTCATGTAACGATAGCAGTTGCTGTTATACGATCAAGACAAGAATGGATGGAGAACAAAGTGCGAGTGATCGATCGCCCCCCCCCCCCCCCGGAGACAGACGTGCGCAGCTCGATTGCTCCACAACCAAGAGGCTATCAATGCCGAAATACCGGCGCTGTGCTGGGAAGATCTCGTCGAGACAGCTTGCCGTCCACGTACATATCGGTCGGTCGTCGTCCCACCTTGGCTGTGGAGCAATCGAGCTTTTCGAAGGCCATTCTACGGGGCGTGGGTTTACTCGCGTTTTTACGGAACACCCGTTTTCCGCATACGTAAAACCCGTGCCTCTTCGCGGCGTGTCTCTACCGAACGGCATATTCCGCCAAGGGTCGCCATGGCCGAGGACGGCACCCGTTGCACCACCATGGGCGTGAACGAGAAAACGCTGAGCGTAAAACTTCAGGGAGCCGTGCCTTCAACCGGCCGCAGCTGAGGTGAGGCAAAGTGGTGCATGCATCCAGAGTCCGAAATATCGTGAGCGGGGCGTGTCTGTGCGCCCATCTTCGTGGGGGTTTCTCGATGTGGGAAGTTAGACAGAATAGTTGGAGGCTTTCATCAGCGTTTCGGTGACATATGCGCGGCGCACCCCTCAAATATCAGGGCGAAGGTCGCGAACCTAAGCCCCCTCCGGGCTCCCGCGCGCACTCTGACGATACTCCGTTGGTGCGGAGGGTACTTGGCGGCAAGCGCCGCGCCGTGCCACCAGCCGTGGGCGCAGCCTCCGGCGAAAGCCTGCAAGCAACGCAAGGAATAAAAAAATGATGTAATCGCAATGGGTCGTGCGAATCCGAACGTGGTGAGAGGTACACTACGACACAGACGACGCGTTCTAAAATGCCGGGACGTGCCGAAAAGCGCGGGCTGAGGCAGGCACGCTGCTGGCGAAAACACCAGCCGGAATAGGGTTAGCGGCTGTAAGCGGAGCTTAGGTTTCTGAGTTGTCAGATGCATGCGTACAAAGGTTGCCTAAAGAGTGGATGCACGCATGAAAATTAACAATAGTCCAGAAAACGAGGCTGCGCACGCTATGCTGTGGGTGGGGATTCACGCTCTCCCCGATGACAAGCATGCGGAAGCTGGAGCACATTCAAGATTCAAGGGGCTACTTCGTCAGGGAATCGGAGACATCGGAAACGTAGCACGATTCACCCCCAGCATACAGCTGCTGTGTGCTTGCGAGAGTCCAAGGAGGTTCAACGAAGGTCAAGCCCACAACGAAAGAAACGGCCATAGCACCCTGGCTGGGCGCAGAATCCAGTTCGGCAGCCCCGTCTACAGTAGTACCCTGGCTGGACGCATTAATCGGTTCGGCAAACGGAGCGATAGTTATAGGAGTGATTTGGACATGGAGCGCATGGCAGTCTCGATTGTCTCCACCAAAACTCTCCGCTGCCAAGCTATTGGGAAAAAAAAATCCCGTCGGATGATGGACGATGCATGCAGCAACGGCCGGACAGCAGTGCGTGGCTTCGATAGCTACAGCAGCGGCTTCGCCTCAGCTCGAACGCACCGCCGACACGGTGCCGACCGCTCTCCCGTAGTCCGGCTTGACGGCTCTCTCTCCCTTGATCACGGCCATGGCCTCCTCCATCGTCTCGGGCGCTCTCTTGGCCGTCGCCACGGTGTCTAGGAAGGCGGCCTTGAGCCTGTGGGCGTACCCTGGACTCGAATCCGCGACTCCCTCCCCTTGCTGTTGCTCCTGCTGCTCTTCTACTGGTGAAGCTTTATCGCAGGCATCAGCCCTCATCGCCGCCGCCGGAGCATTCAACGTGGTCTGATGAAAAGTCGGGCATTCGGAGGAGGCGAGCATGCTGTTCGTAGTCAGCATGCTGCTCGTACGCAGCACTCAGGTCGGCTGAGCAGCGCCGGTAATACGCCAAGTAGGGTAACTAGATACCTCGGGAGCAAGGTTGTGCTTTGTGGGGCTCGATTTATTCACGGCACAGCAGTCACGTGAGCCCCCGACTTCTTTCTCGATTATGCCCACATGAACGACTCATGCATGTAGACTATGTACACCTCCCTCGGACTAACCTTCGGTGCTCCAACCGGCTCCGCCATGGGCGTGCAAGAACGTCCTGTCGACTCCGATGCGGCTTGGGCGCCACAGCCTGCTGCGTAGCGGTCCAAACGGCGCAAAAGGTGCAGATGTGCAGGCATGGAACATCGCGTCACAGATGGAAACGAAACGTACCGTAAGAATTGTAGCGTACAGAAGAGCTCCGCGAATCAGAGGGCATCACTGCTGAACCCAAGCTGACCCTAATAGATTCATACCGCAGGGAAAAAAACGACCATTCGTGTAGAATCTGTGGTGCTTCGGGAGGGAGAGAGACACCAATGTGCTCTGCACATATGCAAAAGACATTGCATACATACCTACACGTAGAGATGCTCTGCCAGTACATGTAGGGCCGGAACGACTCATGCCAATAAGGTATGGAGTGTACCGGCGGCCACACAGAGAGGACGATCAAGGGGAAATTCAAACAGGACTCACTTGACATGTTGATTCCATCGGTTGATAGGGTGGGGGAAGACGGAGAGCTCTCGTCAGCAGGTTTACGTCGCCCGAGGCCGAACCAACCCATATCTAGGAGAAGACACTCAGCGGCAGGGAGTGGGATGAGCGCTCTCGGCATTGCTGGTTGCTGGTAGCACAGAGTACAGAGTAAGGGCGGCGGAACTCATGATAACGCCTTGGGAACTCGCTGAACTCTTTTCTCTCCACTCCACCGTGCCCCCGCCTTTGTCGAGCGCGTGAGCAGTCCTTCACTCCCTGAGGTAACCACAGCATCCTGCCTTCGTTTTGTCCCTCCAGCCTCATCGGTCCGAAGTGTGAGAGTGCTTGAAAATCGGGTCCCGGCCTTGTATTTCAGGACCAAAGAGCCAGAGTCAGTGAACCTTTGGGAGTGGCCCCAGGGATACGGTAGCCTACGACTGCCGGTGTGGTCCCACCGCTCTCTGCCCACAACAGGCAGGTGCTGCAACAGGCCTGTTGTGCCAAACACCGAGGTTTTACCACAAGCACGCCACCGTCCTAAGGACTTTTTCGGGGTGCAAGTGTCTGTGGTGTAGGAATCGCCAACAGCCAACTGCCCAGGAAGCATCAATCTTGCGAGGGAGCGCAAAGCGGTAGCAGAGGCTACAGCAGCAGCAGCAGCAGCTGAGAGATGGAGGGCTCGGGCCCGCGGCTATCAGATGAGGGGCACAAGATCTACCGGATTCGGCAGACGTGCATGAAGATGCTGGAGAAGCGAGGCTATAACGTGCTGCAGGAGCACGTCTCAATGACGTCGGAGGCGTTCTTGCAGCAGTACGGGCCCGAGCCCAACAGACACGACTTGACGCTGCTGGTAGAAAAGGTAGGGGGTGTACTTTCTAAAGAGGTAGGGAGAGGGCCGTCGGGAGGAGGATGTATGCCGGCAGCCGGAACAGGTTTTCCATCGCTTTGGGTGTCTTTTCCCTCGTGATTTTAGTATGTCTATCATCTACGATTGTAGCCGAGCCTCTATGGCTGACAGTAGCGTGTCTCAGCTGTAAGTAGTCTTGGTACGGACATATTTTGTATTGAGGGGGTGATGAGGGTGATCGTTGTCTGTCGAGCCTGCCTCCCTGATAGCAGGGGTTTCGCCGCCGCTTGGTAGAGAGTTGGGTCCGTTCGTTTTTGTGCTTCGAGCTCATTGACGCAACCAGTATTTCCTGCAGCTGTATGTGGTGCTTCCACTCTGTCCCCACGGACGTCCTTGGCAAAAACTACGCTGCCAGTGGTACTGTGGAACAGAACTCTGCCTTCCCTTCAAGCCGGTGGGCGCTCGCTGACTGGGCTTGCGAAGCGGAAGATCGACAACACTTTGAAAATCTACTTGTACTCCATACGTATGGTTGATGTGTACACGGCATTTGTGCCTCCCAAGTTTCACAACCGGTTTAACTGAGATTTTTACGCACTTTCATCTATGTGAAAAACGAACAAAAAACATCGTCTGCTACTGCCGTGGCCTCCTGAGGACTCGACCTGCGTCTTTCCGCCGAATGAAGAATGAATACGAAATTGTTAGAATCGTTGTTTGACTAGTTCGCTACGACACACTCTCTGCTGTTTGTATCGCCCTTGCTTCTTTGGTCCATCTATCTGGTGGTGGTGGTGGTGGTGGTGGTGGTGCTGCTGCTGCTGCTGCGGCCGCCTCTGCTGGTGCTGCAGGTAGACGATCCGATGGACCAGATCTTCGTCTTCTTCCCCGACGACGAGAAGGTCGGCGTGAAGCCTATCAGAAGCTACTCGGAGAAGATGCTGGAAGAGGAGGTCAAGAGGGCCATCATCGTCATCAAGGGCGGCATTACTCCGTTCGCCAGGTCCGCCATCCAAGAACTCTGCGCCCAGCGAGAGGTACGCTGTATACACCTATTCGCATACCACAGCGCACACGCACACGTGCACGCCAACTTGGATTGCGTTGGTAGCGGAGTCTACGTCCAGCGAGACTTGTGGTAAACACAACCGCTAACGTATTTTTGCTGTGATTCTAGGAGAAAACTGACGCTACTACAACCACGACAAGGGCGACGATAACAGCAGCAGCAGCAGCAGCAGCAGTAGCAGCGGCATTAAAACAACAACGGCAACAGCAACCCCTTTCTCTCTCGTGCGCAGGTCCAGGTAGAGGACTTCAAGGACGCGGAGCTCATGCTGGACATTACGGAGCACACGCTTGTGCCGGAACACCAGGTGAGAGAAAAAAGGGCCATGTGTTTTCCCCTTGTGGGACGGCTTTCAGAGGGAAGGATGCTGAGCCATGCAGGGTCGTAAAGCTTGGCCGCGGCTGCTATCGCCTCAATACCCACAAGTGTTGCCCAACCCGTCACAGGGTTTCCCATGCAGTCTAGCGCTGCTTTCGAGGCAAAAGAAAATCGCTCATGGTTGTGTTGGTGTTGCAGTTCCTTTAACAAACACAGCAAGCCTCCTTCACCACAGCATTCGCGTGCAAATGCAAGACTCTTGAGTGGTTATTCGACGTAGATGGTGATATCCGGGATGAGACCCGGGCCACAGCACCAAACGGCACAGAGAAAAGCGATGCAACCGTCGGCGGCAGCAGATCGCGTTGTGAGTAGCGCGGAACAAAGCATGTAGCAGTATGCTCATGAATTTTGTTCCCTCTCCGCAGTGATTCGGGTCGAATCGGTTCGATCGGGTTTCAACCCGTGCGCTCTCCTCCGGCCGATAGGGAGGCCACTTTTTTTTGTCGTCGTAGGTCTCCATACGTTTGGCCGCTATTAGAACTAGCTTCGGCAGCATTCTTCATTGAAGAGGTGTAAGAACGAGAAAATATTCGAAGCAGTACACCAGGAACGAAAAATGAAAAAGAAGAACACCATTTTTCGTTTGAAGTACACCGTTGCCTGGCTTTTATTCATGGTACGTGTATGTGTGTAGTTGGTAAATTGTTCCCTGTTGCTTGTCAAAAACCGTTGCAGGTGCTCTCATCGGAACAGAAGGCAGAGCTGCTGAAGCGGTACAAGCTGAAGGACACGCAGCTGCCCCGGATACAGTCGACGGACCCAGTCGCGAGATTCTTCGGAATGCAGGTACACCTGGTGACCAGTATGGCAGAGGAACACGCGTTTGCGCGTTTTTTTCCTGTTTGCGTATTTTCATCCTCTTCGCCCGTGGCGCGATTCGTGCTCGAGGTAGAACGAACGCCACCACGGCGCCGTACCCCTTTGAACCTGGATTCGCCTGCTTGCTTCGTTTGTTCGTTTGTTCGTTTTTTCCCCTTTTGTTTGTGATCTAAGAAGCGATGGCAATAAAAGAAAACGTCAGAAACTTTATTTTAGCACCAAGCTTCGAGGTGGTGCGAGGAGATCGCTATCCCCGCTTGAGCGTTTTTGGCCTCTTGGAACGACCCCAATGGCTGCCCTTTGCTAACATAACAGCACGCCGAAGGTTGGCGTCGTCGTGCTCTGATCTGTTCAAAAGCCGACTGAAGCCCTTCCTTCTTAGGGCCCATGGGTACATACGCATTTGGGCATTTCGCTTCTTCTGCTGCTTCTACTTGCCCCCCCCCCCCCCCCGCCCCACACACTTCCGGGATTCTGCTACTTCTACTAATCTGCCCGCCCCCGCCCCCCCGCTTCCGGCCCTCCGGACGCCCGCTGTCGCCTGTTGTCTTCGTCTTGTTTCTCGGCCTTGTGTTGGGGGTATATTTGCTTGTCGATTTCGTTTTGTTCGGATTGGCTCGTTTTGTTGCTGCTCGTCTGTGTGACTGACTGACGGCAATGGCTTCGCTGTTCGGTGCGAGTAGAAAGGGCAAGTGTGCAAGATCACACGACCTAGCGAGACGGCAGGGCGATACGTGACCTACCGCCTCTGCATTTAGATGTGTTTTTTTTCTGATTTGAATGTTAAAGAGGCTGCTGTCGACCACATCCAGCTGTGCGTGCGCGAACTAGGTCGTTATCGGTGCAATGCGTAGACAAGCCCCGGTCTGCTGGTGGTTTGCAAACCAACCCGGGAACTGCAGAGAGACCGTGCGGTGTCTTAACCAACTGCTGTTGCAGGGCAAGAAAGTGACGAATGCGACGGGCGGCACTCGTGGTGTAGCATATTGTGTTGACAGGCATGGTTTTCTTAATTGATGCCGCTCTTGGCCATCAGAGCTGGGGTCGTGGCAGCAGTAACCTGCCACGCGCGAATTGACGGTCTTTGTCGAGATTATGGTTGCGCCGCTACTTTGCTCTGCCAATCAGCATCGAGCCTGGCTGCGAGTGTGGCACACCCGCTCGTCTCCGTTAGACTTTGGCGCAGCTTTGCTCCGCCTTGTGCAGCGTCGCACAGGATGCGATTGGTAGCGACTGGACTCCTCCGTTGTTGTAGTGTCAATAACTTGCTTGGTAACGTAAGGACTTCAAAGGTACCTCCCAGCGTGTTTCTGGAAGGCGAGTTTGCACCGTCCACATTGCTTCATGAATCTGCCCCGGTTGAACACCCGTGGACCCCACGTTTAGGTCGAACATCCCTCAGATACCTTTGGGCTGTGCTAGAACAGATGCGGCACCGGCGGAAACAATAGGAATGCCGAAACACACGTAGCGAACTACTAGTAGTGCAGAGGCAGTAGCTGGTGGGAGGGAGGGCTCTTGGAGGGCCCCGTGACGGTTCAGATCTCGAAACGGCTCTCTTAGACTTATTGTCGACGTGCTGCTGAGATCCTGTCCGAAGATCGATCTTGCACCCATGATGAGGAAACCGCAATTTTCTGGTTATACGATCGACCCAGATATATGTTGTTCCCCCTTGGGTAGGTTCAGTTGAGTTGTCGCGCCGCCAAACAAGAAACACGGCGTATGTGCAAGATGGCAGAGGAGGCCGTGTGCAGAAGCTCCCAGAGTTAGCCAAACGCATGTTGCATTCAACAAGATTTCCGTTTTTGTAACTTGGGGCGACTGTCGAACCCTGGTTTTTGAGACGCGAAACACTCTTTGACCGAGTGATTTAAGATCACACGCTCCAACCACGCGAGTTACCTATTGCGGGAGCGAGTCGGCCCCCATCAAATCCTTTAGCTTGGCGAGTGCGAGCAACTCATGGCACATGTTTGCATGGAAGGCGGCGGGGGGTAGTATCAACAGCCCCCCCCTTCCCCTGCACGCGCGCGCTACAAGAGCAACCAGGTACGCGATTTCCAGAGGCGTAATTTAGCACCTGATGAAGGGAAGGATGGCTTTTACTGGTACATTACGAAATCGAATCTCCGCCCGTGTTTTCGGGCCTCCAGGGTAGGGAAAACGGTATCAGTTCGGCTTTGGAGCTGCTTCCATATTTCTGCCACCACTCCTACTTGTTCAATTATAACGTTCCTCGAACACAGGTGCAAGTGTTCGTTGAGTTTCCTCTCTACCGTATGTCGTACTACTGTACTTCGTCAATTATAATTTCATTGGTTGTTGTCTCGCACGAAACCCTCTGCTACGGAGAACCAAACACGACACTTCCGATTGTCGCCCGAATTCCCTCATAGGACCCTCCCCCAACCCGACACGTGGGTTACCCCGAAACGCGTACTGGACTGAGTTCCGAAAAAAAACACTCCCTCCCAAGACGACAGAAAGATCTCCAAATCCTGTACTTGGGAGCAAAAAAGCCGTTGTGCTGCACAACCGTTCTGAGCTCAAAGCCGCAGGAGTTATAACTCAGGTACGACGAGAGTTGTTGCATGAACATACATCGATCAGTCAGAAGGGCGTTATCCGGCAGCCGGTGTTGAGAGGGCTGAAAGGGTTGACCTTGGCCCACATGACGGCCTCGTTCAGCCCAATCACCGTCTCCCCGTCTTCCAGCAAGAATGTCGCGCCCTTCGCCCTGGGCCACACGTCGTGCCCGAACTCTGGCGAGGACGTGGCTAAGGGTCGTGGCTCTTGCTTGCGAGGCGATGAAGAGTTGTTTACGGTACCGCTCCCGCGTGGCGCTCTCCAGGCGACCCGCTCGTGGCGGCGGCAGCTGGGGAGGCGGGAGCCGCTCGTGATGATCTCTCCGCCGCCCTTGCTGTCTTGCCATTCAGAGGAGCGTGGAGATCGTGTCGATGGTGAGGAGGACCTCGTCGTATTTCCGATAACACGGTTGCGGTGGTTGTTGACTATCACCAACTCGCCCTTCCTCCTACCCCTCCCGCTCCTCGGCCCCCTGCCCTCGCCGCCGGCCTTGTTGCTCTTCTCCTCTGCAGGCCGTCCTTTGGTGTGCTTAGATTCGCCAGCAGTATCGCTGCTTCTGCTGCTGCTTCTGCTGCTGCTTCTGCTGCTGCTTCTGCTGCTGCTTCTGCTGCTTCTGCTGCTTCTGCTGATGCTGCTACGGGCCTCCGTGGGCAGCGTACTGCTCGAAGAGCCTGCTTTTGACAGTTTCGAAGGCTTGGAAGCAGGAAGAGCATCATGTTTCGTCGTGTCCGCCGCGACCGTCGTCGTCGTCGTTGTGCCGGCGACACCAACAATACCAGGCGCATATGCCGGGTGTTCGGAGTCATACACGGCCTTGGCGTCGCCGGCGCGCATGTGGTGGTTTGCCTCGTCGCGGACCCGACGCGCGCAGCTCAGCCCGGCCTCCAGGGCATAGCGCGGCACGTCGCAGGCGGCAAGCGTTCTCGCCGGCGGCGAAGAAGGCGCCACCGCGCTCGCCTGCCTCTTGGCCCACCCGTTCAGGTACTGGACGGAAGCCAAGGCCAGCGCTCCCACGGACATGCACGGCGGGAAGACCCCGGAAAGGGGTGGTCCGGTGGGGGTGGACACCCCACTTCCTCTGCCACCACCACCGTTGTTCGACGGGGACGTCGATCGGGATCTCCCATGCGATGGCGGCGACGACGACGATCTAGTGCTTCGTCCGGCCCACCGTCTGCGCGGCGAGCGGCGGCGGCGGCGGCGGTGTTGCGCTGCCGCCGCTCCCGCTTCCCCCATCTCGCTGTTTTTGTTCTCGTCGTCCTCTTCGTCGGATTGGTATCTGCCCCCCTTCTCCGTTGCCGCCGCCTCCGAGGCCATCCTCTCGGCGGCTTGGACGCAAGTGGAGGCCGTCCGTAAGAGAGAGGCGACGACGGGGTGGTAACCCCTCGCCACGGCCTCGATCGCCCCGATATAGCTCGCGTACGCGAGCACTTCCATCCGCACGCCCGGGGAGACTCCGCTAGACGACATCCCACCCCCGTTCCCGCTGCTAAGAGCTCGCACCACCGCAGACGCAGGCCTGTTGTTGGCGGAACGGGGCGGGAACGACAAGGCCTGCACGTTTTCTCGCAGGAAACAAATGCCGCGCTCGGCCGCCTGCTCCAGGTCGTCCCCTAGCACCAGGAGCCTCACCGCCTCGACGTCCATGTCGCGGCGTACGGCCGCCGCTGCATCGTCCAGGTAGGACGCCCTGCTTCTGAGCCTCAAGCTCGGGCAAGGGTCGGTGCTGTTTAGATCAGTACTTCTTCTGTTGCTGCCACCGCCGCCCTCCCGTCGCCTACTGGCGGCCGCCCGGGTCGCCACCATAGCGGCACCCCGCGGGCCTGCCTCCTCTCCGAAGGCTCCGTACGCGTCAGCCGACCAGTATCCGCCTTCATGGGTATCATGATGATGGCGGCGCTCTCCCGAGGCGTTGTTGTTGCCGTTAACGTTACTACTGCTGCTGCTGCCGGTGGGACAACAGCGCTCAAAGCTGCCGCTTTCCTCGTCACCCCCCGTGTTTAGCAACAGCTCGACGGCCAGGTTCGGGTCTCCCCAAGCCTCTGCCCTCCGCGCCATCTCCCGCACGAGCGGGGTGAGCTCTCGAGCGGGGAACTTGAGGGCTTTGGCGGCGGCGTAGGCCAGCTCCGGTTCTTCTCCTCGGACGAGGAACGCCAGAGCAGGCGCGGCCGTCGCGCGGCTGCCGTCGCAGATGGAGAGCATCGCGGCTGCCGCTAAGGCAGGATGCGAGGCCTGGAAGAACTCCTCCGCTTTGGACTCCGTTATAGAGCGCAGCGTTGCCTCGCCTTGGGCGCGCTGAGCGTCTGCTGCTGCTGTCGCTGTCGCTGATGTATCTTTCGGGTGTAAGTCGTATCGACGGGCGCACTGGGGGGGCGGCAACGCCGATGCAGTGTCCGCTTTGGACCCCGGCCCCTCCTCGATGGAAGAAAATTTCCCATCGGCAACCCCCCTGTCGCATCCGCTTCCCATGTCCGCGGTGCGAGCGCTGACACCGTCGAGTCCATCGTATTTCGGCGATGCGCTGCCCTTCCCCTCCTCGTCCTCTGCGCTCGCGGCCCCGCCGCCTCCGAGATCTTCGTCTGCGCTTCCTTCCTCGCCCTTGTGGTCATCCCTCGGGGCCCGAGGTTTCGCGCCCCTATCCCTTCCGTCCTCCACACCGCGAGTTCCGGCGGTCTCCCTCCCCGCCGCGATGATTTCGGCCCCCTCTCCCGTGTGCCGCCGGTCGCTTCCTTTCGCTTCACCGACGGCGCGTGCTTCGATCGACGACGGTGCTTCCCGGGGCAACGGCTCCGGCCGCGGCGGGTAGGCCCCGTCCGCCACCGCGACCGCCAAAGACAACGCCTCCTCGGATCCTTCGAGGACGCCCCGGACAGCCTCCATGGGCCTCCCCGTCGACGCCAGCAGCGCCGCGGCCAACGACGTCGCGTCCGCGCCGCCGGCCTGCCCCCCCCCGCCGTCGCCGCCGCCATTGTTGTCGACGCAGCCACCACCCCTCTCCTCCCCCACAAGAAGCTCCCGGACGTAGCGGTCGGCGACCGCTCTCCAGTACTCCATCCCCACGCCGGGGGCGAGGGCCAACGCGGCCTGCCACCTCCCGAGAGCGATGTTCGCCTCGCACGAGCCCTTCAGGTCTCCCGCCCCCAGGCAGAGCCGGGACGCGCGCTCCAAGCGGTCCGACCGGCCCAGCCGCCTGTCCTGTACGACGAACCTCGGGGACGCGCGCAGGAGCCTCGCGAGCGCTCCGTCGGACTCCCGCCTCGCGTCGCGGTGCACGACGCGCTCTTCCACGCACATGAGCCCTTCTGGCACCCCCCGCAGCGATAGCGTCCGGCTCCCACCGCTCCTGACGTCGGGCTTCGAGCCCGCCGTTCCGCTTTCGCCGCGCACGTCCCGGGAGGCCGCCGCGGATTCTCCGGTTGTTTTAAGGTTTGGGGCGCGGGTAGCGGCGGCGGCGGCGGCGGCGGCGTCCACCCAGCGAACCATCTCCCAGAGAGTGTCGACCCCGTCCGAGGCCCAGAAGTAGTCGAATAGCTTTCGAAACACGGCGATGGATTCCACCCCCTCCGTGCGCCGCAGGTCACGGAGCTGGGTCTCCACGAGTCTAGACGCGGCGCCGCAGAGCGCCGTCGGGGACGCGGGGAGCATGGCGCTCGCGGCGTCCGAGAGCGCGGAGGACAACGAGCCGCCCGCGAGGACGGCCCCCGTCCTGATGCTGGCCGCGACGCCCTCGAGGCCGAACAGCCTGATCGTCGTGTCCCTCGAGACCGAGGCGTACAGGAACGGCCGAGAGGGGGACGCCGAGAGCCCGTACACGTCGGCGACGTGGTCGGACATGACCGCGATGCAGGCCTCGCGGCGGCCCTCGCCGCCGGCCGCAGTAGCAACGTCGCCGCCTCCACCGATCCCCTTCTCTGAGCCCTGATGGCTGCTGCCGCTACCCCACCGGACGCCGGCCTTGCGGACGTCCCACGCTCGCACTGTTCCGTCCCACGAACCCGAGAGCAGCAGCCAGGGAACCTCGCTGTTCCAGTGCAGCGGCCGTACATTGCTCGTGTGTCCCCTGAGGACCGCGCTCGGGGAGACCTTGCGAGCGGCGCCGGCGGGCTCGGATCTCGGCAGGGCCTTCCGGGGAAGGCGCCACACGATGACAGTGGCATCGTCGGAGCCGCTCGCTAGCGTTCCCTCAAGGAGGGGGGACCTGCGGACCGTGAGGAGAGGGGCGGGGCGGGGGGGGGGGGGTGAGGGGTTAGAGACGGCACGGGAAAAAACTGCTCTTCCGGCTCGTGTCTCGTGAAGAACGAGCTTTCTTCATGCCTGACCAATAAGCACGCTCCCCACTTCGAGAAGACGGAGAAATTTTCCCTCTGGCAGAATCAAACCGCAACTAAACAACGTTTGGAGGGGGGGCAACAGCTTCGAGCCCTTTATGTACCAAGCAGAAATCAATCAAGCCTTGCTCGTGTACAGCAGGCAGCAATAGGTGTTTCTACTCCAGAAAAAAAAAAACGCCAAGCAAAGAAATCTGGGAGAACCACTCGGCACACGCATGCGAACTAACCAGCAAACGTGGAACACCCTCTGCGCGTGTCCGGACAACACGTATTGAGGCTCCAGCCCGTTCGTCCACGAACAATCGAACACCCGGACCTTGCCGTCCTGATGTTGGGGAGTGGGGTAAAGGTTTTTGGACGTTCAGCCTAGCACAACCTGACAATTTGGGTAGACGGCCGTCCATCACGTCAACTAGGAGAGAGAAGTCTGGCGGAACGTGAGTTAGGAGGGAAAGAGACCCGCGAGAGAGGGGGTCGGGGAGAGCAAGAAAGAGAGGCAGAGAGAGAGAGAGAGAGAGTAGAGACAGAGGCCGTACGAGACCGCACCATCCTACAAAACCGCCAAGGCGCACATCATCTCCGAGAGAGAACGAACGGTGTTGAGGGAGGGGGGGGAAACAAAGACTATGGAAATGCAGTCGGCGATCAGGCACGGGGCGCGGGGGTAACAGCTGGAAGGCGTTGCGACTGAGATTTATGTTCATTCACAATAGAACGGACCGGTGTTGGGTTCGGGTCAGCATAGAACAAACCTCTTAGCCTCGTCAGGGCTTGTAGTAGCATGCGGTTGTTTCTCACTGCCGTACGTTTTTCCTTTCATGACCAAGTCTTTATTTCCAGAGACGGCGTCACCACGAGGAGTTTTTTACCAGCCGAAGCGTCCGGAGGTGTGTCGAACTCGTTTTCATCCGGCCGTTCAACGAGAACAGGAGGCGAGCGGCTGGTCGGCCGTCGAGACAGGCACCCTTTCGCGGTTCGTTTCTGGTTATTTGTGGCTGATGGACGTCGCCCGCCGCTTGAATGCCCGACCGCCTATGTTACACCACTAACCATCATCTCAAGGGGGGAAGGGTCCAAGCTCAGCTAATACCCGCGTATCGAACAAAGGTGGCGCGCTCACCTTGCAGCCCGTCGCGATGACGTTTTCGTGAGTCGGACACCAGTTGCAGCCGAAGAGCGCATCCGGGTGGGTGTACACGCGATACACTGTCCCCTTGTCGCTGAAGATGACCAGACTGCCTCGTTCGCGTGGTTGTGGTGAGATCAATAACGCACGCGCAAGGGCGGCGCACGATTTACTTGTTGTTGTCGTTGCTGATGCTGCGGTCGCGGGTGTCTTTGCACGTGAGAGGTCAGCCTGCGAACCCACCTTGTAACTCGGTTTTGGGATCCTGACTGCACGTAGAGATGGATAGAGACAGCTGTTGTGTCCGCAGACTCGCCAGGGTCAGCACGGCCACATTGTGAGACAAGCAAGCCTTGACGTTCGGAGGAGATAGCGGTGGTTTTCAACCATATAAACCCCGCACACGTCGACAATTGGCAGTCAATCGTACACGCAAGGCACCCACATAACAATCAACCCGCGTGGCTTCAATTCTGTTCGACCTATGCATACACGCGCCTCTCAGGACTGCTGTCTCTGCTGAACACATTGTGCTCGTATCCAGCCCTTGTTCTTCGATCGCACGTTAAACTGGTTTTACACGGCACTATTTCCGTGCAGCTTCGCCGTTCCCACAAGTCGCACAAAACCCGGCTTACTGAGTATTGAGTCAACTCGCGTTCTGGGTTCGCAAGCGGGTATGACATGCTTCGCCCGCAAGGTACGGATCTAGTGGGAGAGATTGGTGTATCTCGTGTCTGCGCCCACGGGGGGTGGAGCCGCCTGTTTCGGAAAGAGATGGGGCTAGTCAAAGGCGGAAGAAAATAGAGAAAAAAGGCTTTCGGCTATGGTGTTACGTCTGCCCTACAACGCAAGAAGAGCGCAACAAACGATCGCACTTCGGTCCTCCTTTCCACACCGAGGAAGCCAGCGCAAGAACGAGCAGAAGGAGGTGCAAGACGGAATAAGCCCACATCGCCGCACCGGCTCAAAAGGCAAACAATAGCCTACTTACGTCTTGTCCGCGCTGACGGAGGCAAGGCGCCCGGGTTGGAACGGGTCCCACTGCACCCGGTGGGCGGCGCTAACGTGAAGGCGAATCTGCCGCTCCACCTTGCGCGACCCGACGTCCCAGATCCAAACCGCACCCTTGCCGGATGTGGAGGCTATCCGCTTCCCGTCGAGGCTCCAGGCCACGCAATAGATCGCGCCGGTCTGCCCGCTGAGAGTTGCCTGTCGTTTTTGTGTGTCGGTGTGTGCGTTGGTTCGTTTGTCATTGTTGTTTGTTTGCCTGCTTGATTGTGTTTTTCTGTTGTTTTTATGTGTTGCATATTTGTTTGTCTGTTTTGGGTATGTTCTGTGTGTGGTATTCGTGTTGTATGTGCCTATGATTGTTTGTGTTTCGCGTGTGTTTGTTTGCCATGTTCTCGCTCGGGGGCTCGCTCGTGCTTTTCGCCATCACACCATCTGTCGCACTATCGGCTCTTCTTTTTTGTGTCTAATGTCTTCGGATTCGGCCGATTATCTCCTGTCCTGTGTCGGATGGACCAACCCAGGACGTGGTAGAGTGTTTCCCCCATTTTCCCGTGGTCTCAACGTGCTTTGGTCTTGTTTTTTCAGATACCAAATAAAACAGTAAACGCTCTAAATCTGCCAGGAAGTTGCAAACAAACCCCTACCACGGAGTAATCCCGGAGGGTGAGAGGGGGCACTGATGTTCTTTCTTGCTCCTGCGTTTTCCACGCGAAATCCGCAACCGTAGGCGACGAACTCACGGGTGACTACGTACTCTACGCTCATTCCGGTGCGGCGGGCGCATCAAGCCATGTACATGTTCGTCACGCAACACCGAGTGTGAACAAGGTGAAAAAAAAGCTCACCTTCAGGTTCATGGTGGGAACGTGCCACACCTTGACGCTGGACCCGTAGCTACCGGTCGCCAGAGTGTCCGGGTCTCCCGGCCGGTGCTCGCACGAGAACACCGTCTCGACGTGCCCGGCCTTCGAAGCCCACGGGATCGAGCCGCTACCGCCGCCGCCCCCCCAGCGGCGACTGCTGCTGCTACCCCGACTCCCGGCGGCGCCGCTGCGGCCGCCGGGCTGCTTCCCCCACGCCCGTCTTCCCCCGAAAGCGGTGTCCGCGACGGACAGAGAGCCGTCCAGGAAGCCGCAGATCGCCCTGGGGCCGGCACTTGCGGAGCCCCCCAAGTTCGCTTCCGGCTGTTTTTTTGTGGGTGATGCGAGGTCAAACGGTAAGATGCCGGCCGGGTAGTTGTTGGTGAAACAACGATTTGAGTGCTTGGTCGTTTGAGTGCGCTGCGAAGAAGAATGGGTGGTTGTCGTGACCGGGGTGTACTCAGGGAGAACTGCAGTGTTCCGAAATGCACACGGGGGCACCAGATCATCACCTATTTTTCGTTTTATTAGCCTCAGCCAGTAGCGTGGTCGATGCTAATAAACACACACGTACACACACAGGTAGAACCTTTCGATTCGAATGCAAGTTCGTGGTTGCTGTCCCGCTGTAAGACTGACGCCTTTTCATTGGGCAGCCATTTTGTTGGTGCGGCCGGTGCCAATCCAAAATACACACATACACAAACACCTGCGCAGGCAGCCAGGCCATGTCTCTCACGCCGCTCCCCGTCTCGCCGAGTTTCACGGTTCCGATAGGCGTGTGGCTCTGAGAGATGTTGTACACTTTCCCCACGGCCGTCTTGGAGCTGCCGGCAAAGGGGGTGGCAAGCGCGCGATCGCGCGAACGAGCGTGCCAGTCGGGAGGGCGCGGGGGTGGACGAGTGTGCACGTCAGACAGGAAACGAACACGAACGCTGCGGATGCGTGTGTTGTCGTTTGTGCGCGATGATAGCCCTTTCAGAGCCAGTTCCGGAACGATGTAAGGTCCACCAAGTCCGTGCGATGTGGTCCGTCGTGTACGACGGTGTGAGTGTATATCACACCGCACCCACGTTGTTGCATTCTTCGTTTCTCCGTGATCTAGCTGCCACCGGGCCTTGAGACGTCCCTCTCATTCCTGGCCTCGACAACCGAGGTAAACACGAAACCATGCGACCTCTACAAAACCATGTACGCCCATCTCGCTATGGCTGCAACAGTGCCGATCGAACTGCTCGTTCCTTGCCCGCCGGTCTCTCTCACCTCAGCACCAAGAAATTCCCCGGCGCCCACGCCATCCACCTGATGCCGGCCAGGCCCACCGCGCACCGGTCGAACGCGGCCACGGAGTGGTGTCCGGCGGTGTCCCAGAGAACGACAGTCCCGGAGCTGTACCCGACAAGCACGTAAGGGCCTCTGTGCGGATCATGTCTGTCCAAACCAAAGCAAGTTGTTTGAAGGAAGTTCGAGTTTGCACAGCGAATGCGGGGGTGGAAGAGAGGCAAGCAATCGGGAAAGCACCATGTCTGTCCACGAGGGAATGGCGATTGTTATTTGAAGAAGGTCGGGATTGACCAACAAAAGTGGGAGGTGGAGAGGCAAGTAATCCGAAAGGATAGAGGTAGGGGTGGGGGAAGGGTTTCGATGGGAACGAGGTGGGGAAGCGCACCCTTTATCGTCCCTCTATACACAGCCTGGACTGATCTGGACGAACAGGAGGACCGGGCCTGAGATGTGACAAGCGCATTGATGCGTGCATCTGTCGGTCTTGCCTACTCAACTCAACAAGGGGGGGAGGGTGGTGCCGGGGTGGTCGGGCTCAACTGCCGCCTCGCTTCCACCTAAGGTAAGGTTATGATACCTGTACGCAAAGAAAAAGCTGGCGAGGCTTTTGAAGATGCGGCTCGGGTGTAAAATACACTGGCGACCCTGTGCACATCGCGTTTGCACAGGAAGTTTTTTCAGTCCCTCTGCTACGGCATTCGTCTGCCTTGCACGGCACGACCAACGGGTTACCTCTCCCAACCTTCAACCACCGGAAGGCTTACAGAGTTTTCGGCACGTTGCGACACTTGTCGTCTTGCCTGAGATCAACGACGGAGCCCCCATCCTCGCTGGGGAACACCAGCTTGGTTTTCCCCCCCTTTCCGCCGCTTTTTCCCACCGAAGGCGACGAAGAAAACGACAAACGCCCGTCCGTCCACCCAGCCACCAGAACGCCGTGGTCGGATCGGCTCCACTCCGCGCACGTGGCTGTTAGGGACTTGTCGGAGGACCTGTTCGGAACAAGGTGTTGGCGTGCTCCTCAAAGCCGAAGGTTGTTCAGCTGCGTGGGGGGTATGGTGTCCAAGTTCCTGCTGTGGTCTGTGTTTGGCTTTTGATCGATTCGTCCCTGTGTGGGGCGAACCTCGAAGGGTCGGTTCATGACGAAGCTGTTTGACTTCCGACACCGGCAAACGTAGTTGACAAATATTTATCCCCCGCCTCCCCCCGCCCCCCCCTCCCCTCACCCTCCTACCCAAGCACCTCGTGTAGCCCTTGCGGAACCCCCCCCTTCCGGAATCGTCGTTCCGCATCAAGTATGTATCGTTGCCCCCTCTGGAAATAACAGCAAAGTTGGATGGATCCGCAGGGTCCCAGGCCGAGCGCGCCGGTGGGGCACCGACGTCAAAGTTGTACACCCGCTGTTCGGACCGCACGTCCCACTCCGAACCGCGGCCGTTGGTGCTGCCCGACGTCACATGAGGAAGAGGAGTCGGGTGAACAGGTACAAAAGAAGGAGGGTGGGAGTCAGAAAAATCTGGTGGAGTGGCAAGTGTACGCATTTCGCAGCGTCTCAGGTAGTCCAAGGCGCTACACGGAGATTACACGGGCTGGCACAGCGGTTGCTGTGTGTGGTCAACGAACGACCCAAGTACGACCAAGGAGGTGACACCACACCAGCCGGATCGGGCGTGTGCCATTTTCCTCACCGCGCTCGCGTCGAAGCTTGAGTACAAGGAGGTCAATCGTGCCCAAACTCTCGGTTTGTTCAGCTACTCGCCTCAAAACCCTGACCCGGTGGGGGTTGGTCGGGTGCCACAGTATGGAGTGCACGTTGCAGTCGTTGCCGCCCAGAATTGTGACGAGAGAGAAGTCTCGGACGTCGTATACGTATGTGGTGAGGGTAGAGGCGTACGCCATGTAGACTCCTCCTCCCGTAACTATCTGCAGAGGACAGTACGAAGTGTGACAGGCAATCGTTTTGTTTCTGGGTAAAAAACACCGACAACCATTTCATGTGGTGCAGTTGGAAACGGTTCGAGGGGTCTTTCTGATGGTCATGGAAGGGGGTTAAAAAGAAGGCATCAAATGGAATACTTTCGGGTTCTACGACCAGTGAGAACGCGTCAGTTATCAGCGCGTGTGTGCAAAGCATGACATGCGATGGATCCCATGAAGGAGGCCGACCGGGGGGGTCTGGGCTGGGATGTACCCGGCAAGATTGAAAGTTCTCCGGCACTCCCGAGCAGGAGAGCCAGGACCAGCCGGCAAAGCCCAAGTCGCGTTATGCCCACATCTACATCATGATTGTGTTCTATACCACAGAGAAAGGAGCGAGACGCTTGCCATGTTCTAGGGGATACGGTATGGTCGCGGGAGTGTGACGAGCGCAAGGTCTTTATTCTTATCTCTTAGGGTTCGATGGGCTGGAAACAAAACATCTGTCACTCTCAAGTTCGTGAGATTACACCACCAGTCCTGATCTTTCTCTCGCATGCCGGAACATGTCTCTTTCTTCGTCATATAACATGATATTTTTGTCCCGGATGGCTTGGGGGTGGTTGGCTCAAGACCTGCTTTTCGCATTGTGAGGGCTGATTGTCTTGTGAGCATCAGGCATCTTCGTCAGGCTTGAAAAAGAGATATCTCTAAGCGTTATATAGGTTTAGAAGTAAGCACCTACAGGCTCTTGCGGGGATAGCCGCCCACATGTACACATTGATAGGCTTTGCCACCCCCTTTGGTCGCGCTTCGTACGTTCCGGTTTCCTTTCTCAAGTAGCCGATCGGCCGTTCCTCCCTCTTAGAAGATGCGTCCTCCGTCCGGCATATATATGTTGTCAATGGACTTGACTGTACTGCAACGGCAAGCATTACTGAACTCACGGTAAACGCTGACCGTTCAACATGCTCTCCCTTTGCCAGATGCCATGTATGTATTCGCAGAACCGCGAAGTCTGGAACCATCCACTACGTAGTCTGCTGTCGCAGTTCTCTCGACCTATAGAAGCCGAAATCAAACCAATTGACTAGTCTAATGGTGTGATTTCGGCTTCTATAAAAGTTAGTCGTGGGGCTCGTGAGCCCCGTCACTTTCACTTCCGAGGAGGGTGACTCCCCTTGCCAGCGCTACTATCCGTCCAATCTTTATTTCGCTTCATATCACTCGCCACCCACATCCTGCAGAGTGTTCCAGGGTCCACGAGTCCTTCCGTCACCCATACTCTGGCCGAGAGTATCCAGGGTCTCAGGAAAGAAACCACTTCAAAGTGTCCAGCCTGGGTCTCGAACCCACGACTCACTTTTATAGAAGCTGAAATCAAACAATTCCAGCGCTGACTATTTAGTACAATGGTTTGATTTCGTCTTCTATAGACCAAAAGACTTCTTGCAGTCGACTACTGTAAATACAGAGGTACTACATAGACGAATCTACGGAGGACCGGAAGCCGAGCGCCAGTAAAACGACCGATGCCGGAGAGTACAAGTTCCCCCGGGCTACGGTGGTCGCACGACGCTTCACGAACATATTCTGCTTCTTGAGAAGGGGCCAGACCCGGGAGCTGCAAGGCAGCGCCACATCCTCACGTGTCCAAAAAATGATGTTGCAAGTATGGACATGAACGAACGAAGTGTGGGTGTACCTGAGATGACCACTGCTGGCATCCCGACGGATGAAGCTTGATCTGCTTCATGTATGGCTGCGGTGGCCGCATAACATGTTGCACGTCATCGCTCCTCCGGAGAGAAGCCCCCCTGGGTGAGGAGGGTGGAGAGCATGGTGCGGGTGAAGGCGATCCCCTTCTCCGAGATGTTCGAAGCCGTGGGCTGTTCGTCGCCGTCATTTTTTTCAGCAAGGAAACATAACATCGACGGCAATTACAACGCAAACTGAATATATAACGTCAACCTTTAGGCAGCATTCAAAGCTCGTCCCCCTTCGTGGCGATTGGCCACGAGACGACGAGTTTGTTTGGAAAGGAGAACACAACACATCAGCAACCAAAGCACGCGGCGCCACCGTTTCTTTGTTCGGGTTTCCCTCACGCCCGAAGCGATACAAGTTGCCCCGCCCTGAACCACCTGCTGTTGCGCCGCAGGTCCCGTGTCCCGTGTGCACCGGACGCTATGTAGACGCTGGGGGCGCTGGGACCTACGCGTTGTAGAAGGAGTTAATGCCGAGAGGGAGATACCCGACATTACGGAAGCGTAGGACATTCTACAAGGCGTGTATTGGAGGGATAGAAGGAGAAAGGAAAAGGGAAACGGGATTGATAGATTTCCACAAGGCAGACGCCCAACATCTGCAGGTGCAGAGCTTCGCGACAACAGCAACGGCACGGACTAGACCGTTGGAAGCACCCTCTGTGCTCTCCTTGGCATGGTGGATGCTGACAGACGCAGCACCGGTGGCTTGTACCTTGGCCCCGTGCTCAGGCCGTTAAGTTCGGACTCTGAGTTTTTCGATGAGGGAAACACAAATCGAGCACTGCTCTGCAAGCTGAACGTGTTTGCGATCATGAGCGAGGGTGCTGATGCTATGGACCTCCACGAGGACCAGCACCAGTTCGAATGCATGTTTCAGGACTGTACTGCCACCTTCTCGTCGCTGAAGAGGGTAAGTCCTGATTAGGGCCCTCCTGTCACTATGTAGATATCCTACGGCAGCATCTTGTTGTGTGCTTTGCAGTCTTACACGTTAGCGGTTTTTCTTTGGATACTGTGTGCTGGAGTCAAATGGACCATGCGTGTTCGCGCAACCAACACCTTGAGGTGTGGGCCAGCTCACCTGCTCAGCAATAGAAGCGTGGTGCTCTGAGGCTCTTCTTCTTCCTGCAGCAAGCACAGCTGTACGTGTAGGATGCAGCCGCGTAGAAGAATCGGCCGTATCTCTGCCGTAGCGACCTCCGATCTGTCAGCGAGGCAAGCGAAACGGTCCAAATATTTATATCAGCGGGTGTGCTACCCGGGTTCGTGGGGACGCCAAATATCTCAGCCAGCACCCAACTGATACGCGCAGCTCATCCGCAAACGTCCGCCTTCCGCTCAATCGAACTCCGCATCGACCTGAAGCACGAGGAGCACTACGAGACGTCGCACAGACACCGTTGTTTTACCTGCGGGCGCAGCTTCCCGACCCACCGACTGCTGGACCTACACCTTAGCGAGGCGCACGACTCCTTCTTTAGGGCTATGGCGGAGCGAAGGCCGATGTACGCGTGCCTGGTGGAAGGGTGCCCGGAAGTGTTTGAGTCGTCGGGAAAGCGCCACGAGCATCTCGTAGAGGCTCACCTCTATCCTGAGAGCTTCGACTTTAGCAGGCGAGAAATGACCGCGTAGAGGTACTCGACTACTCGAGAGAGATAGATAGAGAGAGCGAGAGAGAGCGAGAGAAAGAGCGAGAGAGAGAGCCCGCACGAGCCAAATTGGCAGATCACGTCGTTTTTTGAGTAGGCTCACTATTATTCATATTTCGCACACCACCCCTTGGTCTCGTTGTATGGCTGGGACTCAACAGGGGTCGGCGTGCCTTTTCACGATATGTAAACGTTAGGCTTCCGCGGGTATGTGTGTCCAGCAGATGTGTGTTTTGCTTAGGAAAAGTATGTAAGTATCCACCACCACCCGACAGAACTACATTGCTGTTATCCCCGACTTTTGGAGTACACATATCGAACAAAAAACTCCCCCCCCACCACCCACCCCCTCCCGTCGATGTTCCACACATTTTCTCAGGCCATCATACACACGAAAAAAGGCAAGAGCAAATATAGCAAAGGATAGAGAGATAAAGGGAGGGAATCTGGACGTGGAACCAGTAGTAGACGGGCGGAAGGGCAAGCTTCGGGCGAGGGGAGCAAAGGCTGGCGCGAGCAATGAAGCGGAGATGGTGACCGCAACACAACGGGGGGGCACTTCTCACCCCCATTCGGCGCCTGGACCCACGGACAAGAACTCGCGGAGGAGCGGCCAAGGCCCAGCGGCTCCACGACCACCACTCGCTACCGCTGCTGCTGCTGCTGCTGCTGCGTCTCCGCGGATGGCGTGCAGGTTCTGGCGCACGGCCGGCGGGTGCCGCAGGGGCAACGATTGCAAGTTTGTTCACGCGGCAGGCGCTGGTGGTGACGCACTAAAGGGGGTCAAGGTCAAGGAAGCCATTGTTGTGGGGGGTGCGGCTGCTTCGAGTTTGGTGGGGTCGGGTGGCGGCAGTGGAAGCGGCAGGAGCGGTGGCAATGGCGGCGGCGGCGGCAGGGGTGGTGGTGGCGGCGGCGGTTGGGGAGGGCGGTCTAGTTTAAGCAGAGCGGGTGCTCGGGATGATGTTGGTGTGGTGTTAGACAGCGGCGGGGTGGAGAACGGTGTTGGTGTGGCGTCGGCAGAAGGGATGATGGTGATGGGGGAAGACGACGATGGCGTTTCTTCTTCCGGTGGCGTGGAGGAGCTGATCAATGGGATGAGCAAGCTCTTGATTCCACGC